AAAAAAAAAATATATATATATATATATATATATATAGGTATATCTGAGTCAGTGAATACCAACCTAACTTCCTAAAGAGTGACAATAACAAACATGGGAAACCGTGTTAAATAATTTATACACATTTCTTTAGTGTATTTAGAACTTTTAGGATGCTAAGTATATTTTGAATCTCTAAGTAGGGTCAACATGATATTGTGTTTTTAAAACTTACTTGACAATTGTACCATATCTATTTTAGGCCTCTTAACACATATTGGTAGTTGCTAATTGCTAGTCCGGGACTAGCCCCCTGATCAACAGAAGCTTGTTGTTTCACTGAGTTGTCTTTTAATATTTTGCTTTTCAGTGAGTACTGATATTAAGAGTCATATGAAAGGCCATTATAGTTGTGAACTGTTGTTAAGGACATTGTTCAGTGTGTTGATTACCATTCTTGGAATAAATCCCTCCTGTGATTGAATCTTGGTGAAACTATTTGTTTTTACTTTCTGTCAGTTGAGAATTACATAAACCATCATGCCTTCTTTTTTGCCTTGCTTGTGAAGCCACTCAAATAAATGTACAAACACTCAAATGTAATGCACAAATTATTCAGCTCTCATGTTTAGCATGCTAAGAATTTTTACTCTCTTTATATTTAGGCAGTCTGATAGTTAGATATCAGCTTTTGAGCCTTTCTTTATCTCTAATAGAGGGATAATACCTACCATTTAGATTATTATGAAAATCAAATGAAACGTGCTTTGTTACTTGCTTAGTCATGTGTCTAGTACCTTGTAGAATGCTAAGTAGATGCTAGCGTGCTTTCCTTTTTCCTCCTTCCATAATTTTAATATTTTCTGTTTCTGGTTTTGCAGTCTTAGTTCATACACATCTTTACTTTGATTCAGCTCAGTCTTGTTTAGAAGTGAGTGAAGTGTAAATACCAAAACAAAAGTTACGAACAGCACATTGAGAGGGTTGTCACAGAGGAAGTGAGGCAACCGTGAGTAGCATTGATGGAAGGAGTGACACACCTGTTAGAAACAATGTCTCCACCATTTGGGTTGCTAAGAAATAGAAGACAGATCAAGCTGTCACCCAGCAAGTTGACATGGATAGTCGTTCTGAGCAAAATACTGGCTTGACATTGAACCTGAGTCACAGTTTTGAAGTAGCTGCAGCTCTTGAAACTTTTGGTTGTGCTGTATGTTTCTACTGCAGGTGGAAGTGACAGCAGTCCCTTTAAGGAGGATTTTATAGACCCAGAAATTGGGGAGCAGATTTCTAATTTTTGAAATAAGAATGAGTAGGGGTATCAGGCATTTCAGTAATGGAAATTCCAGTTTTCAGAATATAATGTGAGAGACATTTGATTGAAGCTGCTGCTTCTCACCAGGGCTACATATTAGAGGACCTGGATTTTATTTCCATATGAAAGTGATTCTGTGTGAAAACAGCCATGGCCTTTCTGATCCAAGGCTCAGGGATAGTGTCCTTCCCTTCAGTCCGTTCATCTGTACACTGGCAACTGACTCAGTGGTCTCTTTAGCCAGACCAGCACACGGCTAGGATCATGGCTTAGGTGACCGTATCATTTGTCATCAAAACCAGAACTTTTCAGAGTGAAAAGGGGCACTATTAATATTTAAGCCAGGACATAGATACAAACCTAGACACATCCAGGACAAACTGGACATGTCATGATTTTAGCGAACAGCTCTTTTTATGTTGCTTTTAAAACAAAGAGGTTTTATATTTGGGGGTATGTTAGCCCTCCTGATATTTCTGTAGCAGCACAGAAATTCAGAAGGCTGTCATCCCTGTTTTGAGTCTTCTGAAGCATGTGTTTTATTTTCTAATTTGGAGTGACATTTTCTTTTTGTATTCAAAATGACTATTGTTGAATCCTGTTTAATCAGTTCAAAGACCATCTTATACATTATTAAGTAAGCTAGAATGGCTCTTTCTTTGGGCTCCACTAGCCAGGTAATAACCAGGGGACAAATGAAAGCACAGAGGTGGAGCTGAAGCTTTTAATGTCCTTGCATAGTAATTGCATACTTGGCAAAGACTCATCCTGGATTATTTTCAGATTTAGAATATTGCTTTTATTTTCTATTGTGCAGTTACATTTTGACTATTAAAATTTAATGTTCATGACTCTCGATGTTCAAAAGCAGTATAAATGAAAGTTAAATTTTAGGTCACCTATGTTCTCCCCACTCTTGTCTTAATAGAAAAAAGCTTGGCCGGACCACAAAAGGGAATGCAAATGCCTTAAAAGCTGCAAACCCAGATACCCTCCAGACTCCGTTCGGCTTCTTGGCAGAGTTGTCTTCAAACTTGTGAGTATAAAACTCATGAAATATAGCTGGGTTTTGATTAAATGAGCATATGCAGTTGCATTTTCAGGTATACCTCAGAGATGTTGCAGGTTCAGTTTCAGACCACCACAATAAAGCAAATATTGCAATAAAATGAGTCTCACAAATTTTTTGGCTTCCCAGTAAATATAAAAGTTATGTGGACATTACACTGTAGTCTATTAAGTGTGCAATAGCATTATGCCAACAGAAACAGTGTACATACCTTAATTAAAAAATACATTTCTAAAAGTGCTAAGGATCGTTAAAGCCTTCAGTGCATCATCATCTTTTCGCTGGTGGATGTTGATGGCTGCTGACTGATCAGGTGGTGGTTGCTGAAGTTTGGGGTGGCTGTGGCAATTTCTTAAAATAAGACAACAGTCGAATTTGCCGCCTTGATTGCCTCTTCCTTTTGCAAATGATTTGACTGTAACATATGATGCCTCACAGCATCATCACCAGGAGTAGGTTCCATCTCAAGAAACCACTTTCTTTGTTCATTCATAAGAAGCAACTCCTCATCTTTTCAAGTTTTATCATGAGGTTGCAGAAAATCAGTTACTTCTTCAGGTTCTGCTTCTCTCTGTTTTACAAAACGTTTTAGCTTCTGTTTTAGATTCAGGGGTACATGTGCAGATTTGTTGCATGGGTGTATTGCATGATGCTGAGGTTTGGGGTATGATGGATGCCATCACTGAGGTGTAGTGAGCATGGTACCCGTAGCTAGCTTTTCATCCCTTGCCCACTTCCTGCTCCTTACCTGCCCTTTGCATCCCCCAGTGTCTGTTATTCCCATCTTTGTGTCCATGTCCACCCAATATTTAGCTCTCAGTTATAAGTGAAAACCTGTGGTAGTTGGTTTTCTGTTTCTATGTTAATTCACTTAGGATAATGCCCTCCAACTGCATTTATGTTGCTCCAAAAGACATGACTTCACTCTTTTTAATGGTTGCATAATATTTCATAGTGTTTATGTATCACATTTTCTTTATCCATTTTACTGTTAATGGGCACCTAGATTGATTCCATGCCTTTGCTATTGTGAAAAGCACTGTGATGAACGTATGAGTACATGCATCTTTTTGGTAGTGATGTATTTTCCTTTGGATATATACCCAATAATGGGATTGCTGAGTTGAATGGTAACTCTCTGAGAAATCTCCGAACTGCTTTCCACAGCAGCTGAATTACATTACATTCCCACGGACAGTTGATAAGTGTTCCCTTTTCTCTGCAGCCTCGCCAGCCTGTGTTATTTATTTATTTATTTATTTTTTGAGACGGAGTCTCACTCTGTTACCCAGGCTGGAGTGCAGTGGCATGATTTCCACTCACTGCAAGCTCCGCCTCCCGGGTTCACACCATTCTCCTGCCTCAGCCTCCCGTGTAGCTGGGACCACAGGCACCCACCACCTCGCCCGGCTAGTTTTTTGTATTTTTAGTAGAGACGGAGTTTCACAGTGTGAGCCAGGATGGTCTCGATCTCCTGACCTCGTGATCCACCCGTCTCAGCCTCCCAAAGTGCTGGGATTACAGGCGTGAGCCACCGCGCCCGTCCCTGTGTTATTTTTTGATTCAATAATAGCCACTCTGACTGGTATGAGATGGTGTCTCGTTGTGGTTTTGATTTACACTTCTCTGATGATTAGTAACGGAGAGCACATTTCCTATGTTTTTTGGCCACTCGTATGTTGTCTTTTGAGAAGTGTCTGTTCTTGTCCTTTGCCCACTTTTTATTTTTACTTTTTGAGACAGGGTCTCACTCTGTTGCCCCAGGCTGGAGTGCACTGGCGTGATCATGGCTCACTACAGCCTCAAACTCTGGGGCTCAAGCAATCCTCCTACCTCAGCTTTCCGAGTAGCTGGGACCACAGGTGCCCGCCACCACGCCCAACTAGTTTTTGTGTTTTTTCCTTTTTTTTTTTTTGGAAAGACGAAATTTCATCATGTTTCCCAGACCAGTCTTAAACTCCTGGGCTCAAGAAATTCTCCCACCTTGGCCTCCCAAAGTGCTGGGATTATATAGGTGTGAGCCACTGTCGTGGCCCTTTGTCCACTTTTTAATGAGGTTGTTTGTTTTTTACTCGGTGAATTGCTTAAGTTCCTTATAGATTCTGGATATTAGACCTCTGTTGGCTGCATAGTTTGTGAATATTTTCTTTGATTCTGTAAGTTGTCTGTTTATCTGTTGCAAGTTTCTTTTGCTGGGTGGGAGCTCTTTAGTTTAATTAGGTCCGACTTGTCAATTTTGTTTTTGTTGCAATTGCTTTTGAGGACTTAAGTCATAAATTCTTTCCCAGGACTCATGTGTAGAAAGGTATTTCCTAGATTTTCATCTTGATTCCAGTTCCTTTGTTCTTTCCATCACATCTACAGTTTCTTTCTCTGTTTCAGTTCCTTTTTTCTTTCCATCACATCTACAATTACTTCCTCTACTGAAGTCTTGACCCCTCAGTGTTATCCACGAAGGTTGGAATCAAGTTCTTCTGAACTCCGGTTCATGTTGATGTTTTGACTTCCCATGATTTACAAATATTCTTAATGGCATTTAGAATTGTGAATCATTTACAGAAGGTTTTAAAATTTACTTTGTCCAGATCCATGAGAGGAATCAATATTTGTGGCAGCTATAGCCTAATGGAATATAGTTTTAAAATAAAACTTGAAAGTCAAAATGATTCCTTGATTCATGGGCTGTAGCATGACAGTCATGTTAGCAGGCATGAAAACAACATTTGAGTTTTTAAATATCTCTGTTAGAGCTATTGAGTGACCAGATGCATTGTCAATGGGCAGTAACATTTTAAAGGGAATCTTTTTTACTGAGCAGTAAGTCTCAACTGTGGACTTAAAATATTCAGTAAACCATGCTGTAACAGACGTGCTGTCATCTATGCTTTGCCGTTCCATTGGTAGAGCACAGGCGAAGTAGATTTACCACAAATAGTAAGGGCCCTAGCATTTTAGGAATGGTAATGAGCCCTGGCTTCAACCTAAAGTTCTCAGCTGCATTAGTCCCTAAAAAAAGTCCACTTGCCGTTACTGGGTATATACTCAAAGGATTATAAATCATGCTGCTATAAAAACACATGCACACGTATGTTTATTGCGGCACTATCCACAATAGCAAAAACTTGGAGCCAACCCAAATGTCCATCAATGACAGACTGGATTAAGAAAATGTGGTACATATACACCATGGAATACTATGCAACCATAAAAAGGATGAGTTCATGTCCTTTGTTGGGACATGGATGAAGCTGGAAACCATCCTTCTGAGCAAATTATCGCAAGGACAGAAAACCAAACACCGCATGTTCTCACTCATAGGTGGGAATTGAACAATGAGAACACTTGGACACAGGAAGGGGAACATCACACACTGGGGCCTGTCGTGGGGTCGGGGGAAGGGGGAGGAATAGCATTAGGAGATATACCTAATATAAATGATGAGTTAATGGGTGCAGCACACCAGCATGGCCCGTGTATACATATGTAGCAAACCTGTAAGTTGTGCACATGTACCCTAGAACTTAAAGTATAATAACAGTAAAAAAAAAAGTCCACTTGTTCTTTGAAGCCAGGTATCGAATTCTCTCTAGCTATGAAAGTCCTAAATGACATCCTCCAATATAAGACTGTTTCATCTACATTAGAAATCTGTTGTTTAGTGTGGCCAAATTCAGTTATTTTTGTCAGGTCTCCTGGATCATTTGCTGCAGCTTCTATATAGCACTTGCTGCTTCACCTTGCACTTTTTTAGATTACGCATGTATGCATGTATGTATGTATGTTTTGAGATGGAGTCTTGCTCTGTCACCCAGGCTGGGGTGCAGCGGCGTGATCTTGGCTCACTGCAACCTCTGCCTCTGAGGCTCAAGTGATTCTCCTGCCTCAGCCTCCTGAGTAGCTGGGACTAAAGGCGCCCACCACCACGTCTGGCTAATTTTTTTGTACTTTTAGTAGAGACAGGATTTTACCATGTTGGCCAGGCTGGTCTCAAGCTCCTGACCTCAGGTGATCTGCCTGCCTTGGCCTCCCAAGGTGCTGAGATTATGGGCGTGAGCCACCGCACCTGGCCACCTTGTGCTTTTATGTTATGGAGATGGCTTCTTTCCTTAAACCTTGTGAACCAACCTCTGCTAACTTCTAGCATTTCTTCTGCAGTTTTCTCCCCTCTCTGAGCCTAGAATTGAAGCAAGTTAGGGCTTTCCCCTGGATTAGGCTTTGGCTCACGGGAATATTGTGGCTGTTTTGATCTTCCATCCAGGCCACTCAGACTTTCTCTAGATCAGCAATAAGACTGTCGTGGGTTCCTATCACTCATGTGTTCATGGGAGTAGCTTTTTCATTTTCTTTCAGAACTCTGCCTTGTATTGACAACTTGGCTGTTTGGTGCAAGAGGCCTGACTTACGGTCTATTATCAGCTTTCAGTATTTCTTTCTCACTAAGCTTACTCATTTCTAGCTTTTGATTTCAAATGAGAAATGTGCGACTCGTCCTTTCACTTACAGGTCATTGTAAAGTTATTAATTGGCCTAATTTCAATATTGTTGTGTCAGAGAATACAGAGGCCTGAGGAGAGGGAAGAGATAGGGGAATAGCCAGACAGTGGGAAGAGCCGGTCGGCAGAGCAGTGAGAACACACACAACGTTTATTGATTAAGTTTGTGGTCTTATATGGGGATGGTTTGTGGTACCCCAAAACAATTACAGTAGTAACATTAAAGATCTCTGATCACAGGTCACAGTAACAGATATAATAATAAGAAAAAGTTTGAAATACTGTGAGAATTCCAAAATGTCACACATAGACACAAAGTGAGCACATGTTAGAAAAAGAAAAATGGCATCGATAGACTTGCTCGATGATGTAAACCTTCAGTGTAATGTCTGAAAAGCACGATAAAGTGAAGTATGAGAAAATGAGGTATGCCTGTGTTATTCCTATTTAAGTCTGAAATTAACCCCATGTTAAGGTAGAAGGTAGATTATTCCAGGGAATGTCTTAAGATAAAAAAATTTGTTCTTTTCCTGTTAATAACGGAATCCGTAGCAGTGAAGAAATGCACAGCCTCTCTGAAGGCCCTGCTGTCTTCTTGTGGGAATAAAGATGGAGGAGGTTCTGTATTTGCGATATGAGATGGCAGTAATCTCTGTTACATTGCCGTTATAACTTGTCTATTGTGAACTAATGCACAGGGCAAGTATGTCATTTTCTACTTGCCTCTTCAAGAAAGACATGCATAGATAATTAGTATGAACTGGAAGAGTACTTATCTTTTTTTTCCTAGAATTCATTGAAGTGATTTCTTCGGCCCTTTTTCATAAGTGGCAAAATAGTAAACTCTGTGAAATCCTGCTGTGGTGAAGCCTTTCAGATTTTTTTACCCATCTTTAACGTGAATATCTTTCTCAAATTATTGTAGGCTCCCAATTTGTTCTTCCCTTTTTTTTCTTTTTTGAGACAGGGACTTGGTCTGTTACCCAGGCTGGAGTATAGTAGCATAATCACAGCTCATTGCAAGCTTGAACTGCTGGGCTCAAGTGATCCTCCCTCCTCAGCCTGCTGAGTGGCTGGGACTACAGGTGCATGCCACCATACCTGGATAATTTCTGTATGTTTTGTAGGCATAGGTTTGCCATGTTGCCCAGGCTGGCCTTGGACTTCTGGGTTAAAGCAATCTGCCTGCCTTGGCCTCCCAAAGTACTGGGGAAAATTATAGGTGTGAGCTCCCACGCCCCACCTTTTCCTATTGTTTACTGACTCTTGGCCAGTATACAATTTTATAGAGAGTTTTACGAATATAAAAATATGGGAACTTCTTGTACAACAGTTTTGCATTTGGAGATTAAACTGTTGAGTGAAGATACAAGTTAGATTTTTATTTTAAAGTGGTTGATTAATTCGGTCTAATAAGAATGATGAATAGAAAGAATATATAGAAAATGTTCTTTTTGATAGAGTTCCATTTAAATATATAAAGGTACTCAAACATATTTGTTTATATATTGGAACAGTTGAAATTGTCATTGGCGTTTTTCCCCTTTCCTTCACAGATGGATGGAACGCCTTCAGAATCAGAGAAGCTTTACTCATTTTATGATCTGGAGTCAAGTAAGTGATTATCTGTCAGCATCTTAAAAAAAATTTCTATGATTTGTTTGCTGACTTGGTGAACGGATTTATTTTTAACTTTGTTTTTTTGTTTCTTTATAATGTGATGCAAACCTGACAAGATTTATTTTTATATACAACTGTCATGCTGGTTTATTCCACTTATCACGGAGTAGCTCTGTCCTGATAGGGGTTAGTAAAGCGCCATAAAGATGTTCAGGTTAGATAGGGTAGTGTAACTATTAGTCCAGTTGACGAAATCTTTTTTTTTTTTTTTTTTGAGACTCCAGCCCAGGCTGGAGTGCGGTGGTGTGATCTCAGCTCACTGCAAGCTCTGCCTCCCAGGTTCACGCCATTCTCCTGCGTCAGCCTCCTGAGTAGCTGAGACTACAGGTGCCGCCACCACACCCGGCTAATTTTTTTGTATTTTTAGTAGAGACAGGGTTTCACCGTGTTAACCAGGTTGGTCTTGATCTCCTGACCTCGTGATCCGCCCGTCTCAGCCTCCCAAAGTGCTGGGATTACAGGCGTGAGCCACCACACCCGGCCAACGAAATCATTTTTCTTGTTTTTTTTTTCCTTCCTGTTTCCCTTCTCTCTCTTAATTTCCTGTTCTGGTTTCTTTTTGATGTCAGAGAAGAGTGATTTAGTGAACAGGGGGATTCCACGGAGCTTTTAGGGTTACTGATCTTTTAGATATTAAGGAAGGTAAAATGTACAGATGACTCAGTCTCCATGGCAGTGTTGAGCATCGTTCTTCTCCGAAACTACCATGTAGCTATCCACCTTCTTGGGATGACTTAAAAAGCTTCCCATATCTGAGTGTTAAGCAAAGGCAGGTTTCATTTTGCTTTTGTATTGGCACAGATCCTTTTCATTGAGGTTGTAAGTGATTTCAGCTCAAAACTAGCCAGGGCACATAGAGTAAATTTGCTGCACAGTTCAATTCTTCTGGATGGAGACAAGAAGATGAACTAGTACAGACTTATATAAGGTTGTGGGATCCTAAGTTCCCATGATAATAAATTATTATTTAAGAAATCATTGGGTTAATTATTCTGTCAAATAAGTAATCTAATGAATATGCATAGGCATAAGCAACAGAGTTATGCTATAGTTCAACTTGATGTATCTTTTCAAGTTTTAAAAGACAGCAAAGTATTCAAATTTTCCTGTTATATTTTACTGCTAGATAATTAACATCTGTTACCGTGGGTTTTACTCTTCACATTAGCCCTTCTCAGTAATAGTGTCATATACATGACCTTAAGTGAAATACTCTCAAATGTTAGTGATTGACCTGTTATATACTTTTAGCCTTAACATCCTATTTGTGGTATAATTGAAAATGATATTTAAAGGGGGTAGTATTGGCTTTAGAACTTTTTTTTTCTTCTTTTGTTTTAGAACCATCTCCTTCTGTTTGGAGTGATGCCACACCATATCTTGTTTTTTGTCTTTGTTTTCTTTTTTTTTTTGACATGGAGTCTCTCTTTTTGTCCAGGCTGGAGTGCAGTGGTGTAATGTTGGCTCACGGCAACCTCCACCTCCTGGGTTCAAGTGATTCTCCTGCCTCAGCCTCCTGAGTAGCTGGGATTATAGGCACGTACCACCACGCCCGGCTAATTTTTGTATTTTTGGTAGAGATGGGGTTTCACCACGTTGGCCAGACTGGTCTTGAACTCCTGATCTCAAGTGATCTGCCTGTCTCAGCCTCCCGAAGTGCTGGGGTTACAGGCATGAGCCACTGTGCCAGGCTCCTTTATCTTGTTTATTCAGCTCAGATAACTTGAAGTTGAAATTGCTTTGCTTGATCCCTGTTCTATTCATGCTGTACTAACCACATGACAAATTTAACCTATTTGAACTTTATCTGAACTTTTTAGTTCTCATTTTCTGACTTTTTACCTTAGAGGTGGTACTATTTATTAGTTTAGTCATGACCTAGTTGTAAATTATTTCATAGAAAAGTCTGCTTAACTTTACTGACTTAATATGAACTTATAATTGTTTGTATGTGTGTACAGAATGATATAGAAAATCTGGTAACACACAAGGTTACTGATTTTGGTTTTAATGCTTTTTCATATATATGCACACGTATGTTTTGATAGGTGTTTGATCTTACGCTGCAGACAAAATTTGGCAGAATTTAATTGATAACATATGCATCATTTTTAGTTGGCAAAAGATAAAACAATATGTATTTGCTCTGTCAGAATGCAATGTAAGGTAGGAAATATCTGGTTTAACAGCCAGCATTGAACACTTGAAAATTATCCTTTAAAAGTTTACTTTGAGATTGTGCTATTTATTTTCTCTTTAAAAAAGATATTAACAAACTGACTGAAGATAAGAAAGAGGGCCTCAGGCAACTTGTAATGACATTTCAACATTTCATGAGAGAAGAAATACAGGATGCCTCTCAGCTGCCACCTGCCTTTGACCTTTTTGAAGCCTTTGCAAAAGTAAGTGTTAAGTTTGCTCTCTTTGCTAATTCCATACATCAGCCATTCGCTCCTTATTTTGTCGTTGGTTACAAAAATGTCGAGAATCTTGACAGGAAGTTCAAGACCCTTAATGCCTTGTATTACTCCCTTATCATAGTGAGTAGAGAATGAGAGAATGTATTGTGTGCATTGAAAAGGGTATGAATTTTTCTGTTTTCTTAATATTCTTGTTATTGCCGGAGTATGTTCATTGTCAGTTCTCAAAGTGTACCCTTGGAAGAAAGAGGATACTTTCTTTTCTCAGAAGAGCATATCCCATTATTTTTTGTGAATGGACTTGTTTGCCATTGCATTGCATTCATTGAGCTTTACGGTGGTGGTTTAAGCATAGAGCCTGTCTTGGAAAAGAAAAATTTATTGAAATCCATTTCTTTTCTTTTCTTTTTTGTTTTAAGACAGAGTTTCGCTCAGTCGCCAGGCTTGAGTGTAGTGGCACGATCTTGGCTCACTGCAATCTCCGCTTCCCAGAATCAAGCGAGTCTCATGCCTCAGCATTCTGAGTAGCCGGGATTATAGGCGTGAGCTACCACGCCCAGCTAATTTTTTTTTCTGTTTGTAGAGACGAGGTTTCACCATGTTGCCTAGGCTGGTCTTGAACTCCTGACCTCAGGTGATCCACCCACCTTGGCCTCCCAAAGTCCTGGGATTACAGGGGTGAACTACCATGCCCGGCCTCCTGAAGTTTTTTTTTTAAAAATGATTCCGAGGGTTTATCTTGGCCTACGGAGGAAGAGCGCGATGATTGATTTTTTTTTTTCTTTTCTTCACGAGCCCATAGGTATGAAATGATTGATTCTTGATGTTTACCCTGGGATAGGGATGACAGAAACACTCCCCTCACTGCTATGGATCTGCTGTCCTCCTTTCTCATATCGTGGGTTTGCATTTGTTTTAATGTTGATCACAATTTAATAACAAGTAAAACTTTACTTTTGACAATTTTGCCACTTATTTTGTAATTTGTAAGCACACATTTAAAGATAGATTTATGCCATTAATATTTTAAGGCATGTTTTAAAATGTACTGTTTTCTGAAAAATTAAATGTAATTGGTTTGATTGCTGGAGATTGATTCTAGGTTTTCTCAAACCTATTTTTATTCTGTATGGTACATTTTTATGATTTTCTGATTAATGTCATCTTAGCATTATATTCTGGTTTATCTATAATTTAAAATTGATTTCAAAATTTATTGGTTACTTACAGTGCATCTGAAAACTTCCTCATGTATTTCATATGCTTCTGAAAATTATAACCTATAGAAGTATCGTGTACAGTGCACAAGGCTCTTTTCTTGTTAAACACTACAAACACGATCACCTACTGAAAGACAAAAATATACCTTGTGATGATTATTACCTCATTGCTAGTGTTAAGTTTGTGGCTATTCTGTGGTAATTATTTCTATTGTTGGAAAATGTTCTAGTGATAATTACTGATGTTATTAATATCCATGAGAAATATTTTAAAATACTTTCTATTGCTACATATAAAATGTGAATTACTATCCCAGTTCTTCTTTCTAAAGATTTTAGTCTCATGTATTTTATAATGAAATTTTTTCCATGTTGTATGGGGGGAAATTCTGTTGCTGTGATTAAGTGGACCAGTTTTTAATACTGTGCTTACCCTTCTCACATAGTATTTGTTATTGCTAGAAAAGTAAAACATATGCAGTTTTGAGATTTTGGGGCATCATTGGCCTTAGATGTGTGATTTCTGCATTAAAATATGGGTTAGTAATCAGGGGAAAGCGGCCAATAGCCTATGGCTTCTGTACTTCCTGGTGAAAGTTTTGTTAATGTTTTTAATTTGTATTTTTCTGCTTATAAATTTGTCCTTAGAAGAAATCACTCCCCTCCTGCCCGCCCCCCGACTCCTTCTCCCTCCTTCTCCACCCCGACTCTTCTCCCTCCTTCCCGCCCCCTTGGACTCCTTCTCTTCCTTGGTCAGCAAAGATCCCTAAAATTAACCTAAAGTATCCTGCAGCTTCAGGGATTAGTCACTGAGATCAGAATGTTGACGGTGGTGATGGTAAAATCACATCAAGCACATGGGAACTGGGTCAAGATCCCTGGCAGAGATTTTTATCCCAGTCTACTGCTCCTCTCCTCATTTACTTGATATAAAATTAATTAATCAAAGAGAAGGAATGGCCACCACAGAAAAACAAGATCAAACAGGGTTTTCTTTATTTGAGGGGCTGTAAAGTCAGCCTTCTTCACAGCGTAAATTCAAAAGTCAAATTCATTAGGCTATGGAAAGCGGGTCAACCTGCAACTATCCCTGACTGGCAGTTTGACATACAGAGGAAGCTGCTGAATCTGAAGTTATGCTGTCAACAAGCCTGGCTTTACCTGGCCTTCAATAAACAAGATCTTGTTTTTATGGTTTCTTTTGGTTCCTCTCAGTTTACATTCATTCAGGTTCTGTGCAGATAATAGACGTACTAAGCTTATGTTTTAGCCCGTCTTTTTTTTTTTTTTTTGAGACGAGGTTTTCACTCTTGTTGCCCAGGCTGGAGTGGCAATGGCACAACATCGGCTCACTGCAACCTCCGCCTCCGGGCTAAGTGATTCTCCTGCCCTCACTCCCAAGGAGCTGGATTACAGGCGCCTGCCACCACGCCGGTAATTTTGTATGTTTTTGTAAAAAATTTTTTTTTTTGTATTTTTACAAAATACAAAATTTATCTCCTGACCTCAGATGATCTGCTTGACTCAGCCTCCCAATGTGCTGGGATACAGGCATGAGCCGCTGCACCCGGGACAGTTTTAGCCCTTGCATTGTCATTGAAGGCATATGGAACTCTGAGAGCTTTTCTAAACTTGCTTATGTCTTAATTTTTTTGACTTTTAAATTACGGACGGTTTCAAACACACACACAAATAGAAGGACTAGTGGAAATGAATCTCTCAGTTTCTTTTCTTTCTTTTTTTTGAGACGGAGTCTCGCTCTGTCGCCAGGGCTGGAGGTGCAGTGGCGGATCTCAGCTCACTGCAAGCTCCGCCTCCCGGGTTCCCCCATTCTCCTGCCTCAGCCTCCCGAGTAGCTGGGACTACAGGCGCCCGCCACCGCCGGCTGTTTTTTTGTATTTTTTAGTAGAGCAGCGGGTTTTCAGCTTCGTTAGCCAGGGATGTCTCCGATCTCCTGACTGACCTCGTGATCCACCCGTCTTGCCTCCCAAAGTGCTGGGATTACAAACCGAGGCCACCGCGGCCAGCGCCGAATCTTCATGTTTCTATCAGCTGGTTTCCCTAATTTTCAGACTCATTCTATATCTGTCATTTTAAATACTTACAGTTCACGCAGATGTTCTTTCTCTTTGTTTGGAGTTTTACACCTTCATTAGAATTAGTCTTTTCTCATCAAGTCTCTTGCCCCGCTGAGAGGTGTTTGTTAGTTGGATTTGAATTTGCTTAGCAAACTCAGCAGACTTTTATTTGTTTATTTGCAGGTCTAGTGTGTACAAAGTCCTCTTGGTACAGGGTTGTAGAAGTATGTGGCTAATTCTAAATCTCAAAATTGTCTGTCAAGGCAGAAAACTTCATCAGGGCAAAAGTCTTACTTGAAGAACATGCATATCTTTATCAAACTTGCACTTTCCCCGAAAGGTAAGGAGTCGGAGAGGATGAGACCGTTCTTAATCCTGAGAGCGTATTTCATTGTCTGGTGAGCTGATGGCTTTTTCTAATGGAAACTCATGATTAATGCCTGAAAAGTTGGCAGCTTGCATTTTGAACACTGGAGTTTCTGGCGGAAAAATGGTGTGTCTTTCCTGTCGGACCAGGTTCTCAATGCCGAACCTGCATCTGCTGCGTAAGCCTTAATTTTACTTGGAAAATTTGTTCTGTTACTTGAGACCTTTTGTAGTCATTTTCCCGGTCATTTCCCAGATATTCGTCCTTTTCACCGCACTTCTTAGCACCAGTGTTAGTCTGACTCTGACTCTTAGCACCAGTGTTAATACACAGGCACCCTAATAGCAATTGGGGTTTGATTGTGGAGTTTTCTGTATAAATATATCCTGTCCACTTATGAATTCGTTGCCTGGCTGTAAAAACTGAGTCACATGAGCCATAGGAAGGAGGAATTTTTCAAGGGGTGGGTATCAAGGGGAACCTCATCTCAGAAGTAGAAACTGACATACATTTCAAAAGCGAGGATGGTGTTGGGAAACAGTGACATACAGCGGTCTAGAAATGCCACTGGGGAGTGAGGGGTGTTGGTTCCTCCAACCTCCTAAGGGAAATATATCAACCTCCTCTGGAGAAGGTTTTCAAAGGAAGTTGTTACCTGTGGAATACAGATTTCAGTTATATTTAGTAATTATAGTAGAGTTAGAATAAGAGCTTGATGTTTAAAATGTTTGTTTTGTACTAAATGTCATAGAAAGTGAGGGTAGGGATACTCCCAGAGTTTATCTAGAGGAGGGGATGCTGAGTGATAATTTGGTGGATGGAGAGGCTAGAGCAAATTACTTGCAGCTTTATTTGCATAGTTTTTTTTAAAACTTAGATGGTATTGCTTCCCCCGCTGGGGGGTGTGTGGTGGGGGAGGGGTGTGGCTGTGGTGTGTGGCGGGAATCGGTGTCCAGGGATTTGTGGTGGTTGGGGGTGTGCTGGGTTACTGTGGTTGGGGGTGTGGGCTGGGGGTGTGTGGCTGGTGTGTGTTGGGGGTGTGGCTGGGGCAGTGTGGCTGGGGTGTGGGAGTGTGTGGCTGGGGGTGGTGTGGCTGGGGTGTGTGTTGGGTGTGGCGGGGGCAGGTGGCTGGGGGTGTGGGGAGTGTGTGGCTGGGGTGTGTGGGTTTGGGGGGTGTGGCCTGGGGGCAGTGTGCTGGGGGTTGTTGAGGGGGTCGTGTGCTGGGGGTGTGGGGGGTGTGCTGGGGGTGTGTGACTGAACGGTGTGGATATTTCCACCACACAGTAAACTGTAAGGTGTTCAACGGTAGGAATTGCA